TTAATAGAATACAGCCACTGATGTCAGTGAGAAATTTTGAACTGCTTTCCATTACTTCTGGGTTCTCCCCTTCATTAAGACACTGGGGCTTAGAGCAGGTAACTTTCTGATACCTGCAAATCTTTAGCAACACCAACAACCAAGTTCTTTGGCTGCCCTAGAGAGGAGGCAGAGGAGTAAACAAAAGAAGGCATCAAAATTTTTTCTGCTCTCTGTCTGTACTGCATTACCTTTACTTTCCAGGTGGGATTCCAGTTGAGACAGAGGTTTAACAACAAGGATTAGCCACAGCTCTCTGACTCTTCTAAACAGTTAAAACTTAATACCATTTTTGAAAATAAAGGATGAGGAAAATATCAAGTTTTAATAAAACAGGCATAAAGCAACAGAATTATGGTATTAGAAGTTACTTAAATACAAACATACATCACTATAACCCTTGAAGTGTACTTACACCACTATGTAAGACAAACTGGAGACATGGAGACCAATCGTACATTCCTAAACAGAGCAGCATATTAAAAAGCCTTAATGGGTTCTCCATCATCTCTTGATGAGTAAGAAAGTCATACTCAAAGAGCCTTTTACAGCGCAGGAATGTCACCTCCTGATATTTTTCACGGCACAAATCTTCTCCAGGATGGTGTGCAAAGAGAGGGTCATTTTCCAGAGCAGAGAAGATTCTGTTCTTGGAGAGGAAAAAACTGACATGAGAATATTAACCTAAAAGCATTAACAAAAACAGTTAACTTTCTTCTAGAGTAACACTGGGTCGCAAACTACAGTCATTTGCTGGAAGGTATAAACCAAAAATTCCAGAGAATTAAAAAATACATTTAAATGGCCTGTCATATACAGCTCTTGCAGCTAAATTTTATGACATCTTCTTCACCATTAAATGATTCATTGATTATTTCTGAATCCACAAGAACAGTATGGTCAAACTTACTTGCTTTGTGTAGCAGCTTCACTGTCTCAATATATGAAGCTGCTGGCAGAATCTAAGGGGAAAAAGTCCCTCACTCTGAGAATAAAGGTAAAACTCCAGGGCTTAGAGTTTCAGTTAGAAATATGCAATGATGGTAAAGCCATTAAGCTACCACAACTGCTCTGTTCCCAGATGAAAGTAAAAAAAGGCTCCATTTAATGGAACCATCAATATGCAGCCCTTCAGTGTGGGGATATGCATCTTTTAATGTTGTCATTTGGATCCTTTTTGTATTAGATAATATATTATGGCACCTTGTTTATCCCAGAGCTGTGTCTTCAAGATATCCACATCTTCTTAATTGTCTTTCACATAAGAAGGAAGAAACCCAGACCTCCTGTGCTTTCCTTTGAAAGGCAGTCATTCCCTTTCTCTGTGTAAACAACTCCACATGCCCACACAGGTTTGAAACTCCTTCAGACACAGAGAACTTGTGTTTTTTTCTGTGCTTTAACACACACCAGTCAGATACAGAACCAGGCCTTTCCGATTCCCCTGACCTACCAGCTAGGATTTTTATAATTATGGTGAAGATTCAAGATTAGCTTAAATCCATACAAATCTAGATCACCTTCCAAAAGGTCGCCCTTTGTCCTCCCATATATCTCCAACGCGTGCATTTCCTCACCATCTCCTGTGCTGCAGTTAATCTCTTTTCTTGGTAGAGTTAGCTTTCGGCAAGATTCAAATGCTAATCTCCAAGTGCAACGCCACATAAGCATTAATGCAAACACAGAACATCGTTGGAAATCAGGTCAAAGACAGAAATACTGTTCGACAGAGGCTTGAGCTTAGCTCTGCATAAGTACCTTGCAAAACCATAGGGTCTATGATTCAATGCAAACAGTAAAGAAGTATAGTATAGTTCTCAGTCTGAAATGAACACTCAGGTTCTGAAATGTAGCACCTGCTGGTCTCCCCTCTAGTGATGTTCAGTAATTAAACTGGTCTTATGAGACAGCAGAGTAGATTGCTTAAAATTTCAGCTCTGTTCTGAAAATTGGCTGTGCAAATCAAATTTTTTCATGCTCCATATTTACAAAATATTATTAACTATAATTTAGGTAATGTAGTTAAAGTATTATTAGCTAGAATATGTTTTTTTTTAAAAAACATACTTACTTCCACTGATACCTCCACAATTAAAACATGCTTGCAATTCTTGCAAAATTTACCTTCAGCTGCATGATATCTTCACCATCTATGAATATTGCCATCTCCTTCCAGTTGAAGGAAGCTTTGTCACGATATCTGGAAAGCGGGCCTTTAGGGAAATCTGGCAGCAAACTATCCCATGAGTTTTGGTTGCCAGTCACTTTTTTCTGATTCAGTGTGGATGCCATTGTTAGCTAAACTGTAGCAAACAAGATAAAACACAAACTGAAGCACCACAGATGTATGGGTTTGCTTTTTTTTAATTATTAAAATAAATTAAAAGAGTTGTTAATTAAATCCATGATGAACTTGTTTAAACGTATGAGGGTGATAAAAAGGGGGTGATCAAAGTCCCAGGCGAGAAAATACCATGTCTTAAACAACAAATGGAGAAAGGCCCCATGAAGTCTGCTGGCTACTTGGGTGCATCTATGGGTCAGGTAAGAGTACTACAAAACTGCACTGACCCTGCAGAATTTCCCTGTCATTAGGTACAACTGCACTGGTTCAGGAGAGGAGAATCCTGCTTTTCATTAGAACCCGGCGCAAAGAAGTAGAGGCTGAGTCTCTGCTGCTTCCAGAAGCTGCTGCTGGAGAGCCCTCTGCTGCTCACGGTACACCCAGCAGTTCCTGCCATCACAGAGACAGCAGAGATCTCTGCTGTGCTTGGAGGGTGCAAAAACCACAGGACAGGGCAGCAGAAGCTGGACACAATTTAACAAGACTGGCTGAAAGAAGCAACTCAAAGGTATACATAGGAATCCTGGCCGAGGGCTGGCCAAAGGCTCAGTACAGACCTTGAACATAATGAAGTACAGAAACTACTTCAGCAGTCTGCTTTTTCCCCCTCATAATCTTGATATACCTCCTTGATACCTCTCTTTTCTTTCAACCTTATCCTTTCATGGAGGTCATTCCCTAGTTCTGAACAGTACAAACACAGTAGAAGAGAACAGCAGTACAGTATTTCTGCATGTGACTTCCAAATCAGTTCAAGGAAGATGCAGCTCCAGTATTGTGCAACAGTTTTGGAAAGAAAAAGAAAAAAAAGAAAAAAAAAAAAAAAAAAAAAAAAAAAAAAAAATTGACAAAGTTTTCAAACCCCCCCCAAAAAAA